CCCCCCCCAACGGGTAGTAGTGATAAGATGTCACCCTCTACCTGCCCACTCCCCCTTCCCGCATCGCAGATGTGATGGGTTAAAGATGGTCATGTATTTAATTAAGATTATCCCGTCGAAAGAGAATCTATGTTGTCTGTCTAACTCTGCATCCATTGCATTACTTTTTTCCGCCTATAACTGTTCTCACTTCAACAGACGAGTGCCCGTAGTGATTTGTTCTCAGGGTATTAAAATCTGAAATAATAACCAGAAATAAAGTTCACATAAGCAATATAAAGACTATCGAGACAAATGAAGTAAAAAAACGACATACAAGACGCATCAAGAAAACCCATTCTTGACACCACTCACACTCAGCCTACATATTTTTATCGTTTATCATTTCGTAAGCTCACCTGAAAATCTTCCCAATACTCTGATTTGAATCCTCGATCGGCGTATTTACAGTGTAACTGACCGATTCCGTACAGGTACGGTTCCAGGCTATCCATATGATAAATATTCTTCACCACTTGTGATATAGTCTGAAAATGTGTGTGATCAAAACCTCAGAAGCGTCCCAGGACCGTGTTGCCATTTCAGAAACGCTTCAAAAGAAACGCTTTTTGGCGAAACGCTCTCAAAAAATTTTATGCGTATGCTTACAGATTTTTTCGTTCGAAAAAGGTCTGGCTCTGTTCCACCCATTCAGTTGTTCACTACGAGGTATCTAGATGAGTCCGAACAACCATCATCACTCCAAGATTCAAGATCGACAGCTCGGCAACAATGCAAAAAAAAGATGGTTGTCAACGTCTTGGGGATGCTCAGTCGTAGAACTACAGTTCAACGCAGAACCTAGACTTGAAAATGAGAGACAAAAAAAGCGACGACATGATTTATAAAAAGCTGTGGACTTTGCACAAAGGCGACGAGCATAGAGCTGGGCTGTAGTTAGAACGCACTGGAACGAGGCCTCGAGTTTTCGAACAACAATGCAGTGGGAACCTTCAGTTTCGACAATTCAGTTGACGATCGAAAATCATATATTGCCACCACAATGACAAAATCCCGCAAAAATTAGTATCGCCGACTCAGAAACGTCTGGCGAATTCTGGTGACTGCTGAACCCTACTATAATATTTTACAACTGTATTGATCTGGGACAAATAAACACACCGAACGACCTTTGAACACAGTGGCCTGAGCAGCGGTGAAGGTGGTCTTGAAGGCACAGTACACGATAGTTTTGGGTTATCCAGATTATGTTGAAAATGGAAGACAAGATCGAAATAGTGCGATGAAGGTGAAGAAACTGCGTGAATCGGTGTTTTCAAAGTGAAAAAAGGCTTCAAAAACGTCAAAAAGGGGGCTGGCGAGAATGGGACCAGAAAAATGAAGAAGAGTGGGGCGTTTGGACGAGCGATACAATGTGTCTCATGCGTGTGTGTGGGTCCTGGTGCGAATAACAGACTTTGGTAAGCAAAAATTTATTCACTAGTAAGCATAAGTAAACAAAAAACCCTAGTAACAGCAGAAGTAGCTCACTTTTTTAGGCTCTAGAAGTAGGAAATCAAATAAGGGATCGCGGCAGCAAAAAGAATAACAGGATAAAAAAGAATGGGAGAAAAACATCGCCTCAGGGCTCGGCGATCAGCTGCGTGGGTGTGGGTCCTAGAATGGCATCGATCGAGGGCCGTAAAAGCCAATTACGGCAGCAGCAGCAACAGGGCTTCCACTATGCCCTAAGAGCCGAGATTGTGGGAGTGAGAGGGTCCCTTCTACCACCCATGGGGAGCGCTGAGTATTCCTAAAGGGAAAACTCAGTAACCTTTTCTATCGTGAAACGGGCTTTTAACTATTGTTTCGAACAGGAATCCTCTATTTATAAAGCGCTAACTTTGCGTGTCTGTTTGTATGCCCGTTTGTGTGTCCTCGCAAAAGTCACGTAGGCGCGATCAAGAGCGTGAAGATCACAAAAGCGCGAAGAGAAAACAGTTATGAAATGGAAAGTCAACCGATGCTCTTTATAATGGTCCGTTGATTAATATCCAGTCTATTTATGACCTCACAGACTAAAAATCACAAGTTGCCCCCACGACGCAGGACAATCAAACCCTTAGGAACTAGAGGAGGTTAGAATGGAAACAATTCCACGATCACCTATTAGTGTCAAGAGATCAATACCCACAAAGCGGCATCAGATTGTTCAAATCGGAGAATATCACCTAATTCTTATACATCAAACGTTCTTCTCGCTATTCTATTTACCGTCGTGCTACAGCCCTATACTATAGACGATTCATCTATCCGTTCGCAACCGAGGGTGAAAGAGGTTAGGCTTTGTCGATAAAAAAAACTTTTTGCTCAAGAAGACTTTTTACGGGAAATACCTTAGGCATCTAGCCTATTTCCCAGACTAAAGCGTGATTTTCCATCCTACTAACCATAGAGCGCTTTGTCTGTGGTTTTATGTCTGTCACGAAATCCCTCAGCTCCTTTAGATCTGCCTGGAGAGACTGGTTCAAGAGTGGGATGTGTGGGCCATGTGCGAGAAGTATGAAGCGCACATCAGCTTGGCGGAGTCTTGCCCACAGACCATGATTTCAAATTCAGTCACGACACGGCTTAAAAACTGGGGTGTAATTGTGGCCAGAGGTGTGCATTGGTAAGTTAGATCGAGCTAGGGAGACCCACCCCGATTGGCAGGGCGCTTTCCAAAAATGCAATGCTTTATGAAAACATTTATAACACGGTTTGGAGGAAGCCAACAGAGCAGGAAAAAATTGATGTAGGGGAAGCATTGATAGGTGTCTCCAGCAGGAATGACGTCAGCGGAGGCCTGCCCACAATGTGCCCCGAAGCTCGCACCGTTTCTTACAAGTCAGCATAATTCGGCTCTGAAAAGCTGGAAAAAGGTGGATAAAAGTCGGAGAAGAAGTGGAGGCTGACTGCCAATGGTGGGCGCGGCCGGTACAAAAGGGGGCGGAGTTTGCTAGTAAGTTTATAATCCGGTTCCATGCAGTCCTGGAGGCCGAAAGAAAAGTGGTCGGAGACCAACAACGGCAGAGCCGAAAGAAAAGTGGTCGGAGACCAACAACGGCAGGGATATCAACAACTACGGGTGGGTGGGGTGCGCACCAATGTAGGCGGAGCTTACTACGAAAATACATAACTTGGTTCCACGTAGCCCTTGCGATCCGAAAGCGCTTAGGGTTGGGCAACGGCGGAGCGGTCAACGACCATGGGCGGGTGGGGCGTGCACCAATATGGGCGGACTTAGCGACAAAAATTCATCAAAAGTGTTAGTGAAAAGGGCAATGTGTGGAGAATAATTCATGCGGTCAACGCATTCAATAATTAGATGACTGTGGAATACATAGCTCATGGTCTGAAGGGCAGGCTGTATAGCTTCGCCTAAATCACTATTTTAGGCGCGCGATAGCGTGCGGAGCTAACTGGTCTATGAATACAGTGAGATGACTAATACGAGGAAGATTTCGAAACTACGGCACGATGAAGCAGAAATGAACAATAGCGGTTGTCGCCTATTAGACGCTGCCTGCTCGAAAATATGAATCATCTGTATAAGTTGATGAACCAAAGCGATACTTAAAAAGCGCGTCAAGATTTTTCGCCGCGCAATCATTACTCTCCTTATCCAGAGATGGCTATGAATCACTTGATTTCTGATCGAATGAAAGGAATGCGATTCACATTCAGCGAAGAGTCATTTCGAAAAGTGCACGCTGACACCATCTCGCACTCCAACTTCAGTTCTCGAAATGACTTTTCCATTGCACTCAGCAAGCTTTTAGAATGCAGATAGACAATAACAGTGCAGAAATCCGAAGCAGTCGATGTGGTTCTGTCAGAATCCATCGACGAAAAAACGGATTCAGTAATCGAAGAAACCACCAACAAATTTGTGCCCCTGACACCCGAGGGCTCTTCACTTTTACCAACTATATGATAATATATGCTTTACTAGTCTAAAAAAACTATATGATAATATATGCTTTACTAGTCTAAAAATAGTGTGAAAGTCAGAAAGCATGGCAATACATGATTTTCTCTCCTATAGTTAGTGCAAACGAATGAGAACGAACACTTTCGCTATACAAAAAAAATAAAAAGTGAGCAAATATAAAAAGCACCTGTACAAATTTCAGTGCTTGAGCTCGAAATTCACGCGAGTCTTTCCATTTATCGCCATACTTCAGGAGTGACGGGAACAACTGTTTGCAGTTTGGATTATGCTCAAAAATATAGCAGTAGATTGATGAGCCGAGATCGTACAGGAACTCAAAATCGTCACTCCACGTTCGACGCAGCAACTCCTTCTCACGCACACTTGGTTCCCATTGTTCCACGTTTTTTATCTTGATTCGCTAAAAATGATCAATTACCTACAGATCGCGCTTGGTTGCTCACTGAACATTGAAGGTCCGGACTTGTACACAGTAAGCCATGAGATTCCACTGAATTATTTCTTTTATGGGCGGAGGTGGTGTAGTGGCAAGTGGCGCACTATATCACACGCACGGTCAGGGGTTCGAATCCCGGATCGATGCCCGCCTAGGCCAACCAAGCCTTCCATCCCTCCGGGGTCGGTTAATTGGTACCAGACTTGTCTGGGAGGATAAAAGCACTGACTTGTACATCGGCTGGCCACCGCAAGTCATTGTAAAGGCCACATACGCACTCATTACGCCACTGCGATTCTGAATGGAAGTCGAGTGCGGGGGCGCATCCCTCAGACGGGATTGATTAACGCCAAAAACTTTATCCTTTATCCTTTATTTCTTTTATGGGACACCAGTTGTCAAACTACATTGGCTGGCCAACGCAAGCCATTGTATAGGTCACTACACATACAAAACAACATTACAATTCTGAATGAAAGTCCAGTGCGTGGGGGTATCCCACGTGCGGTATAGACAAGTCCAGTTGGATTCTCCTCAGACATTCGCAGTTTGAGACGTTTTTGCTTGTACCTGTTTACTCTCTCACAGCAATCGCTATGATGAAGAAAACAGCGAATTCGAGGAAAAGTGGAATGGCGAATTCCCAACGTTCGAGCTGATTTTGAATGAGGTTTTGCGATGTCTTTGAACCAATTGCTAATGAAAAGCTTGAGTCTGCGTTCACTGCTTAAGGACACTTATATGTATTTTGACAACAGTCAAGTTAGCTGGGTACTGCATAAAACACTTCACACTTTGGGCATGTTTTCCTCTAGGTGCCCTGACTGATGAACTGAGGTGAGCCTCCGACAGTTATCTGTACAAATTGTACGTCTCTATCAGTCAACTGCTCGCTCCGCTCTTTCAGTCAGCGGTGAAAGTGAGCTTAGATTTCATTGAACAGTTCCTTTCGACTTCTTCATGGAAGATCACTTACTAATTAGTGCATGAATTTTTGCTTCAAAAGCACCCGTCCTATTGCAGAATGCGAATTAAGCAAATCATCCATTATTCGTCACGGCAACTTCCTTCGACCCACGCGATAGGAGTTAATAGGCAACTTGGCCACCGAGCATTAGAGCTCACAGCAACATTTTAGAAACAATCCATTTTACCGAGTTTCCGGCATGAATACGTAACAAATGTTTACCTACCATATACGTATAAACACACACTCACGAACATACACATAACACTAATACACACACAAATACACATACACATGCACATATACACACATAAGTACCTCAGTGACTTCGAGACATGCACCAGAGGAAAGGATCGGAGGTTCTCTTCTCAAGATGCATGCCTTGAAACTATNAAAAGTAGTGTTCTTTTCAAACGTTACCCACCTATGTATTCGTCACATACTGTGATAGCTATTGTAGGATCACACTATATACACGGCAGGACAGTGAAACAATACGATTCTACGTATTGAGAAACAGAAACAAAACTCACAGAAACATTTGTTCAGTCATATATTGCAAGGAATCTTGACAATATAATTGATTTCCAGTACGCAAATTACTGGACCCATTTTCTTTAAAGATATTGTGAGTACTGACCGATGGTTGGCCACTTACCAACAAATTCGTGATTCAGCAGGACGACTATAAATTCCAGAAAATTACTTTGATCAGGCTGGAGAGACGTCTCGCAGTCGTAAGCCACTATTAACAGTTCCAGTTTCTTGGAGAACAGTTGTTGGAGAAAATTAGGACCATCACGATCACTTGGTTTATCAGCTATCTTACTGTGCTTACTGTGGGGCATTTGAAAGGAAACAAATGCAAACAGGGGAGTATTACCGGGTAGTGGAAGGAAAACACTGATGAGAAATCTCTGCTATTGACAATGACATACTTCGTAGGGCACTCGCCAGCATGAGATTTTTATGAAGGCGCTGGTGGAAGGCACTTTGCAAAAAAAACTGTTGCAATGCGGATTTGTTTGAGATCAACTAGTATGTAAGTTGTTGACGACGTTGAGGACGCTAAATTGCTGTTGTTCTGAATTTTTGTACCTTACGCGTTTGGTGAAGATCTTTGGTCCGTATGACCGTGATGTGGTACTATTTACCAAAATATCGAGAGAATCTCAGAGGTAGCTATATAAGGGCGGGTCTGAAGCTGAATTGTTAGGGCTGGGGAATACCTAACATCAGAAAATTCAGTTTTGGATTCCATATATGTATATATATCAAAATATACATATTTCATGCTCTCCTGGAGTGGTGTTATCCCTAGTGCTATCCGCCTACTGAGTTTCATCCGCCGGATCTTGAGCGTAACCACTTTCTATTAATTTGAAGTGATTTTGACCAACCGATGTAAGGTTGACTCGATTATGTCGTTGATGTTTCACTTCACATCACTGTATTGTTTAGCGCACCGCTGCGTGCAACAAAATAAATAAATAAATAAAGTTTATACGGCTTGCTTTATGTTAGGACGATGTGTTTTGAGAAACTGATCGGTCGTTAACTTACCTCCCATTTCGCGGTCGCCCCTCTGATTCGAGAGGTATTTGAAGCTGCAGAGGTGTCACATTCATCTACCATACTAACATCAATGTCTTTCGATTGGACATCGCTCATTTTTTGCCTGACACGTTGCTCTCGAACTGGTTGCGGTGTACTAGAGTGAACACCCACTTTGTCACCTGCACTGAAAACATAATGATGCTAATAATGATAAGTCTTAAAAAGTCTTTGTTGAAGTTATACTTAAAAAGCTATCTGTACAACTGTACAATCAAACCATTTCAGGATGGAAAAAGTTCTTACTAGACACCTTGGAAGAATTCTGACCAAATAAAGAAGAAACCAAAATAACTGAATTTGAAATTCACTAATAAACAGAGTAAATGCTTTTTGGGAGTTGCTGAATACATGAATTCAGGTAGAAGTGATTGATTACGATTTACTTCATGCTTTTGACCTATCGTGACCTCTTATTAACAGAGCATAAAATACTCCAAGAAGTAATGAAGTGAAAGCCGCAGGGGTAGCGATCACTTTGAAAAGAAATGTAAAAATATATCTAACCAAAGGAAAGAGCGAGTGGAAGACGTCTGCGTCATGTTAAAAGTGAAGAAACGAAGTGGTTGCCTAACTGAATGAGCAAATTATCTAAGTGACCAAAACAACAATTAACAACGGAGAACTGCACGCGGGCCGCTGCCTCCTTGAGATTCGCTCGTTGTTCTTTCATTATACACTCAATTCCTCCCTTCAAAATACAATTACAAAATCTCTTTCCCGCTTATGCATAACGATTTTTCGAAAGCCTAATCACAACTGAAAGAAACAGTTGAACAACATATATTTAGGCTTCCAAAAAATATTCATTGAATTGCTGAGAGAAAAACTAACTAAAATTAACTCGAATCATGTTGCATGAGAATGCTCACCTCTCAACTGCTTTGAGCGAATTGCGTTTAATAGCGAGGAAGATCAAATAGTTATATGTATATAACAAAGGTTCTCTCACACATAATGTATTCACGTTCATGATTTCAGGAGAGTGGCGGTAGATGAGCAGCTTTCGGACCTTTAAATTATACATAGTATGCAGGTTCAGTGAATATCTGAAGCTGTGAAAGTACATGATGCCCTATAGCTGACGTTCGTCGATTTGAAAAAGTTTTTTGATACCATCGAAGCAGAAGCGGCAATTGGAGCGGTTCTACAACAACGGTTCTACAAAAACTTACTCTAGTCTACCACTCTATGAGGAAGTCACTGTCAACGTTAACTGAGGAAATCAGCAGGGAGACTACCCACTACTACCTCACTCGAACTTTTCAATGCCGCTTCCGAGAGCATAATATGTTATTTAGAATGGGAAGACTCAGCAGTGAGGTCAAGAGTCGTGAATTACATCATCCCCGCCTTGCAGACGACATCGTGCTTGCAACACCGAAGAGGAAGTGATGATGACCGAACTTGACAGTGCTCGTGGAAAGTTCGGCTCAAGATTGAATTAAACGGATTTATGCCCGATGCTCCCTTTACGCTAAACTGGACAAATATCGCTATGTGCTTTAGTAACGCGTATTAAGGTCGAGTAGTCAACATGATGAATGACCACGCTCCGGAGCTGAGCAGAAGTAGGATGCGGACGTAAGCCATGGAGAATCGAGCTCCACGAAATCAAGATGAACATGCAGTCAGAGTCATTTAAAGGACGGAAGGCACATTGTAGAAAGGACGATGCTCATGATCTTCTATGGGAGCAAGTGCACGAGAGAATCCGAAATTCTGAGCTCCGCGAATGGATGAAAATCTGAGGCGCCGGAAACATGCGATATTGTTATGGGCGTTGGCCAGGGTGGTAACCGACTAACTTGAGACGTCAAACGAACACCAGAACGACAGCTAGCGCGATGGTGAGACTTCTTCACGAAAGCTCTGAACGAAAGGATACCTGACTTGACATAGTCCTAAACGCGTAGTCCCTAGTGTACGGCAGGCCGCTACGGCCTGANTCAGGCCGTAGCGGCCTGCCGTACACTAGGGACTACGCGTTTAGGACTAAGTCAACTCCACGCATTGTATCTGCGGCCCATCCTCACTAAAGATTCCGAATTCAACTAGTTAAATATAGTTGAGTTGCCGGTTTCAACGCGTCATAAAAAAGATTTCCAGGAAAGTTCTATTTGATCGAGTAAAAAATTTCAACTAACAATAAGTGGAACTGGTAACATAGCTCTGAGGAAAAAAAGAACATCGGATGTTCCTCCCAACACGTTTACGGTGAGGTTCAAATATATACTAGTTCCCCAGAACAGCCATAAGTGCAACATGGTAATCGTAGGGTTCTTGAACGTGAGAAATAGAGTAGATAAATGTTCTTCGAAACCAGAGGGCAATGGTCCGCGATTCGCATTTGCTATTCAGGTAAGTTTGGTATCATAGTCATCTTAAATGCTTCAGCGATGTGAAGTTGAAATAGAAGACATAAAAAAAGTATGGTTTTTGTGATGAGCATGATGAAATGGAGCCATTCCAAAGTGTTTTTCTTCTGTGACGCTGTTCTTCAAGAAAACCTGATTATGTGGACGCCACCATGAGAAATAATGCGCAATCAATATCCTTTTGAACGGAAGCCAGAGGATAAGTTACTGCCAGAATCAACTGTCGGCAGTATAGTCACGGTAGGTATTGTTGCTACGATATTCTCCCTATTTTTCAAGAAGTTTCGAGATAATTATTAGGCTATAGTTATAGGAGTAAAACTTTTTTCAAATGTTTTGAGAATGATGCCCATTGCACCTTTTTTTTTAGGTAGAGAGCTTTTCTATGAAATGGCAATTATTGTCGCGGGCATGATGGTCATGTGGGCAACTAATTGCGTGTTGTTCAAGTTACACAAATGAAGGGAATACAATTCAAAGGAACTTATGGCAGAGCCTACACAGAAAAAATAGAACTATCCACCAAAAGTATTGGTTGCGCTATTATTCATTAACACATGTACTTGTCAAACCCCACGCTTATTTCTAAATTTCTAGGTAACGCTCGGTGAAAAGGACGAACACGTGGGAAGGTGGATAATTGAAAGAAATGATGGCTACAGTTAGTTATCCTCACAATTACCAGTTCTGGAATGAACCGTGTTTTGACGGCGGTCGATGCGGTATTGAGAGCATTGGTTCAAATATTCCTATATATACATATATGTATAGTTATTGTCAAGTCAAAAAAGAGTGTTTCCGTCTGACCCTCGCCTACAGTGTTATTTGTTACCTTGAACAAAGTTGCGCTTGCACATGTCTGACTCTATTTGTGAATTGGAAAGAAACTCAAACAAATTAAATGGGAAAGGGGTCGTCGGTTCGGATCTTGAGAGAATCTGCCGACCTTAAGTGTCAAAATGGAAGCTAAGATTCTCTTGCGCAGTGCTCCCTAATTTTATAGCGACCAAGATCTGTAGTGGTCTTCTCCATCGTCACTTGTTGTGCCATGTGTTGTCCCCTGAGATAGCTTACAGGAGAAGATTTATTGGAAACACATATAAAATAATGAGGAGACTGAATAGGCTTGTTGTTGTTGGAGGCATGTGGTAAAGCAGTATGCATAGTGACTGATCTTCTCCTTAGCCAGCAGCTAATCTTTCCGGTCTAACAATAGAAAACCGTGAGATCTACGCTTGGAGGAGTACAAAGCCATCGTCTTCAGGGTTATATATACCGCACGACCTTTAGTCACATCTAAATTCCAGATTTGAGCGTCCGTTTGACCAATGATTTAAACGAGCTCTTTGTGCTCCTAGTGTATCTATTCTAGATAAACATGCCCTATATGACATGCAATACAGGGTATCTTCCGTGAGCGAAGAGTTCAAATACTGAACGCTACCTGAACACGGTTGCTCTGCAGGGCATGAAGCAAAGAAGGTAAAATCTCCAACTAAAAGTGAATCTATAAGAGGCCAATTGAACTGCACGAGTGTTAACTGTTAGCAAGGCAAGAGACTTGTTTAGAACAATGAGAGAAATGCTGCTTCATCCTGCATCATTCTGCGAAGGAAGTCTCAGGGTAAGCACTTTCTGTCATTGTCGTTTGAACGTTATAGTGCAGAATACGTATTTCAAAGTATTTCAGAGGCGGCGAAGAGTAATTGGTGGATTTTGAGAAAATTCGAAGAAGTAGTAAAAAAAAATACGATTTTGCAAGAATATGACAACCGAAGCGGCATAAAAGGGCATTGAGAGAAGCTGTCACTCACTGGTTTGGTTTGGAACTGGCTACAGTAAGCCAAGAAAGCCAATAAATGCCTTTCACTGATGCTATGGTTTATGAATGGTTGCCTGAGTTTTTAAGAATGTATTCTATTTTGTTAATAGCGCAACTCTGAATACGGTTCACGGTATTCCGAGGTACCTATTCAAGTGAAATGATGGAAACCATGGTGCCCAATAGGGCGGAAAGAGTGTGAAAATCGGCAGATTAATGAAAATAAAGGCTTCGAAAAACTACCAAAGAAGGAGTTGCATCAGATCTCCGTCTGCCTTCACCTGAGTGTCTTTCACACGAGCATACTCTTAGTCGTGCTCTAACGCTTCTTTGTGAATAGGGCAGTAATAACAAGGCCGGCATAACACGGCCACTTTTGGGTGTGTTAGCCGTCGGTCAAAGCATCAGAACCCATTTTTACAGTGAACCGTGTCTTTGAAGCCAGCCGCGGCAGATATTATTACAGTAGTATTAAATCTTCTTATCACTGATCGAAGATCGACACTAATCGAGCAACACTCTTTCAATAAATTAGTGAGAAATATGTAAATTAAATAGCATTCTTATTTTCAGACAGCATGTGTGCTATTTCATGTCCTCCCATGTTTCCACTTTTTCTTGGAATGAGAGTGAGTGAAAAAATAAACCGAAAGAGTGAACCTGCACACTTCCACAATTCTATTTTCAGAAAAAACATTGATCTTGCGCGCGATTGAAAAAAAACGTATCCACAGATAGTACTTTACTGACAAGGTAATAAATATCTATTGAAGTTGTTGGGGAAGTTGGAAAACTTTTCCACATCCTAAAGTTGCAGATTG